CCTGCGTACTCCGCGCCCGGGGCGGCGCGACCCGGTCCTGCCGCGGCCGCCGGTACCCGGCGACGCTCTGGGCGCGCGGGGCGAGGCGGTGCAGCTGCAGCTGCAGGACGAGGAGCTGCGGCTGCAGGAGGAGAGCGTGCAGCTGCACCAGATCAACATCTACCTTAGCGACCGCATCTCGCTGCACCGCCGCCTGCCCGAGCGCTGGAACCCGCTGTGAGTCCGCAGGTGGCGGGGTGGGGGGAGGGAGACACTGCCCGCGAGGTCCCCGGGCCTCAGTTTCTGCATCTGTGAAGTGGCGGGGTGGAACCGGGGTCTCGAAATACCTGGGGATCGCGCGTCTTACTGAGTCTTTCTCGGAAGTGGGCAGTGGAAGGGGTCATATGGGATGGGGGGACGCAAGAAAGTTTTAAAAAATGAAAATAGGAAAAAAAAAAACCTCAGAAATTGACGAATCTTTTACTGGGTGGTCTCTTGTCTCCTTCCCTCTTGAGAAGGTCTGTCATTCGGCTCTAAAAAAGTGGCGGGGAGGGTCGGGGCTAAGCAGACAGGTGTAAGATGAGACCCTCTTTGGGTGCTCTTCCTGGTTTCACAGCACCCCCAGTCCAGCTCTGCCAGTATGGCCTTACCTTGGTAAAACTAAGGACTCTTAGGTTTCGAGGTAGGCTCCACTTTTCACTTATCTGTGTGTGCCAGGCCCTTGAATGAACCAGGAGGGGAGGGCGCTCCAGCAGGAGAGGTAAAAGGTCGCTGGAAGGCCAAGTCCGAGGTTTCCCCCTCACTGGGAGCTGGATTCCTGAGCATTAGGCAGAGGAAGGCAGGAAGGAGGTAGTGGGAAAGGCTCCTTCTGGCCGAGGTCCAGCTGGGCTCACTCCTGTGGATGGTGCAGGCCCTGAGCCTGTGTGGTCAGAGGCCTAAATCCTATGAGAGCTGCTGGCTGGGTGGGTTGTGGCCCCCCCCCTTCCCCCCCGCCTGAGTGAGAAGGGAACAACCTGGTAAAAGGACAGACCTCCTGGCCTTCTTTCTCCTTCCCTCTGTTGGTGGGGATCTTCCAGGCCCCCAGTTGAGCCCCGTTCTTAGACTTTGAGGAAAAGAGGAACGGGGGGGG